GGCCGCCCCTTGGCGCCGCCGGCCTGGGAGCAGCGCGGCGTTTGCGCCCGCCGTGCTTGTGGTGAGAGCGGGCGTCTGAGCCGCGTCGTTCCGCGGCGCCTCGAGTAGTCCCGGCGATCCCCCGCCGTTGCCTTTTACCCGCAGCCATCTGGCTGTCTCCTCGGTAATCCGAATAATCCGCTTTTAACCTCTGCTAACGCCGGGCGGGAGAAGGGAGAGCCGCGCTGCGTCCTGGCGGGGCCTCTGGGCTTGTGGGTCCCGCGGGGTTTAAACGCGAGCCCGAATCGGCGGACAGCGGTCTTGATTTTTTATTTTATTTTATTTTATTTGTAAACAACTTTTTTCTGGACGCTTTAGAGGTAGTTGATGGGTCGCACGTCAAGAGCCAGGTACCTGCCCTTAGCGGCACTCTTTACTACAGCCTCAGGATAAGGTCTGGTCAGCAGCTCGCCCCTCAGCCAGGAAGGGAAAGCAGTCCTGCCGCCTTAGCAGCCCCCTCAGGATAAGGTCTGGTCAGCAGCTCGCCCCTCAGCCAGGAAGGGAAAGCAGTCCTGCCGCCTTAGCAGCCCCCTCAGGATAAGGTCTGGTCAGCAGCTCGCCCCTCAGCCAGGAAGGGAAAGCAGTCCTGCCGCCTTAGCAGCCCCCTCAGGATAAGGTCTGGTCAGCAGCTCTCCCAGCGGACTGCGGCGGAAGGAGCCAGCGGAGGCAGGTCCCCAAACTCTTTGAGGTGCTGCGCTGGTTTCGGCTTTTCCTCGCTTGGAAACATCTGACGTTTCTGCTCTCGTGATGTGGGAGGCGCCCCTCAGCCAGGAAGGGAAAGCAGTCCTGCCGCCTTAGCAGCCCCCTCAGGATAAGGTCTGGTCAGCAGCTCTCCCAGCGGACTGCGGCGGAAGGAGCCAGCGGAGGCAGGTCCCCAAACTCTTTGAGGTGCTGCGCTGGTTTCGGCTTTTCCTCGCTTGGAAACATCTGACGTTTCTGCTCTCGTGATGTGGGAGGCTTTTGAAGTCTGTAAGTGCTGATACTGTGGATGCTGAAGGAGCACGTAGTCTGCTGCCGTTAATTTCTGTTTAGCAGAAGGTCCTTGAATAAAGAAAGCGGCTCAGGAGAAGCCAGCGCTTTGAGGATGGTTGTGATTACTTTACCAGTGTCAGCGGCTAACTTTCAGTGTTGTGAATACAAATGCTGTTGATTTCTGGGAAGATGACTGATGTAGTCAGTGGGCAGGTGAAAAGAAGAGAGGCATAAAGTTCTTTCTTTTCACGTGTTACATTCTAGCCTGGAGGAGATGATGTTCATGAACTTGAGGCACTGTCTGCACTAAGTGTTCGTGTAATCCATCTCAGTACATAAAAGTGTGTTTTCTGTGTTTGAGAGTAACCTTTTTTTATTAAAAACTGCAAGCACAGCTGCATTTTCTTCTACCTTTTTTCCTTTGTGTGCTTTTTATTTTTTAAACGTGCAAACAGTTTTTGCAAAAGTTTTTGTGAGATCCTCTGACGATTTTGAAGTTGAATATAATTTAGATTTTTCTTCTCCTAGGTTTTGTTAGAAGCTTGTTTCTGAAAGACTAGGAAGGAGTAAAGGTCAGAACGTTTGAATTTAATTCATTGCATTGATCACTGCTAAAATAATGCAAATAATACTGGAAGTTGAAATTTACATCACTGGGGAGGTCAGCCTAGCAGGGCGGTGTGAGCGAGGGTGACGAGACTTCTGAATCGCCGTTAGAAAAACTCATTCTCAGTGGAAAAAATATTTACATGTATACTAAAATATATTTTAGTGCAGAAACAGCTTTTAGGAGGGTAAGTTTTTCAGTAGTGAGCTTTAAAGCGGAATTTTATTCATAAAGTTTCTTAGCCTAAATACATTTGAAAGGACAACTAAGAATTAATTCACAAAGCAATTGACCATCTGCGCTGTAGTGTTTGATAATGGGCCATAAACTGTTCTTCTGCAGCAAAACAAACTTCTCTCAAGAAGTAAAGGACTGTCACTACACGTTTAAAGTGGAGTCTCTTGTTGCATATGTGAAGAAGAGATACATTGTCTGTTTTGTTAATTTATTTTTTAGAACGCAATGACTACTTTGGATGATAAACTACTTGGTGAGAAGCTCCAGTATTATTACAGCAGTAGTGAGGGTGAGGATGAAGACAGTGAGAAAGAAGACAAAGATGGGGAGAGCACCCTTCCTGAAAGTGTTGGGGAAGTAGAGCTTAGCAGCGATGGCAGTGCTATCAACACAGGTATTGTCAGGTCAAATTAATTACTTTAAAAATATGTTGTTTATTGGAAGATTCATGTTGTTTTCTACAATCCTCTTTTTTGGTTTAAAAAAAAAAAATCCTATTTTGATGTATGTTTGAGCCAGAGAGTAATCATTTCTTGGCTGCAGTCTAACCTTATTTTTAAAAGCCTGTTCCTTATTTTAACGATATTTAATCTCCCAGACTTCTCTGGGAGACTTCAGCTCTATATATGAAGCGGTTAGGCTCTGCATGCTAAACAGATTAAGTGGAGCTGGGGCACATTGGCTGATAAATCATAAAATTATTTCCTGTAAGCCACACAGCTGTAAACCTCCAGCAGTCCTCATATAACAGATGTAGGTGCTGAAAAAGTAGGAACTGACAGAAAATGGCGAGGCTTTGAGAAATTGATAGAAGGTGGCCAGGCTCTCCCAAAGTAGCATTTTCTGTTACCATGGTCAGAGTCACAGTACTGGAATATGTGGAGCATTGGTGTGAGCCAGAGGGCATTTCTTAAGTTTTTATGAAAGACTGGCCCTCTATATTTTAGGGTTTCTCTCAGAGTGATGAAAAATTCTCATGCACGTGTTCCCATCTTTTACTCGGGAAGAGTTATAGGGCAATAACTGGCGTATGTAGACCTGAAAAAATAACTTTTTCCGCTGGGCCCCAGCCGCAAGATAATAGCAAGGTGAAATCTGTAAGAACCACGCTTACTATGTATCATAAAATTTATTTCTGTAAAGAGCATAGGCAAACTTAATTCAGAGATGGTTTCTCATCATATTATTTTGTTCTTATGAAAACTCATGCTAACAACAGGGGGGTTCTCGAGTGCTGGTGGTTCTATTTCTAGAACACAGATAGGAATCTTTAGAACAGCCTTTGGGACAGTTCTGAGAGTAGCCTAGTTAGATAAGCTTTAACGTTACACAGATAAGAAAACAGATACTAGTTCAAGGACATGTAAATGCCAAGTTAATCCTGTTATTTTGTTTCACTACAACATTTTGCACAGTATACGAAAAGTTTATGAGGAGGCTAATGTTTTACTGATTGCCTACAAATTACTGTTAACGTTTTAAACAGCAGATGTAATGTTGTTACTCTTTTGCACTAAGTGCCTGTATATTTAATTTCAGGTCCAAAAGGAGTCATCAATGATTGGCGAAGATTTAAACAACTGGAGACGGAACAGCGACAGGAGCAGCGCAGAGAAATGGAGCGACTCATAAAAAAGTTATCTATGACATGTAGATCTCACTTGGATGAAGAGGCTGATAAGCAGAAGCAGAAAGAGCTTCAGGAAAAAATCAATGGAAAGGTAGCAGCACAAAGATGCCACTTGAATTTTTAATGTTTTTTGTTTCTTGATTTGCATATGTGAAGTAGATGGGAATGCTTGTTCTGTTAGGAGATGTGTATTATTCCTTTCCAGTGAATGGGAACACAGTATAAGTAGTGTATTATTTGCCAGGTGTTGTCAAGTTTAATTATTTCACGTTCGAGTAGTATTTTAGGGACGCTGTGTTTGTCCGTGTTAACAGATAACATGATTTAGCCAGCATACTGAAGAAGTCCAAATCCTTTTCCCAGATCTCTCTTATCTCTCTATCAAATAAGTCAAACTTCAGGAAGTAAAATAAAGAATTACACAGCAAACCTCCCAGACTGAGAGTTGCATAAAACACAAATTCAGGAGTCCTTACTGATTTCAGTATGTAGTAAGTGGATGCTGAGAATTTAGCTTTGCTCTCGGAAAGACTTTACACCCCAGAGATAGGAAGCGTTGGAAACGGTGAATGGTTTTGATCACCTGGGCTGTATAACTCGCTCTTATGTTTCTAGGCAGAACTTGTTAATTTAGCACATAGCGTGCCTTGCTTTCAGGTGGCAAAAATTGGCCACACTGTCCTGTACCTTGAGTGACGCAAATATGTCTAATGAATCTGGTGAACCGATATGAAATGCATAAAATCCTGTTAACTTCAGTTCTGCGGATGATATTGTGTGTTTGTTTTGCCCAGAAAATGTTAAATCAGTGAGAAATTGATGAAAAAGATGAGGGGAGATCGAGGTTAATGGTGGCTATGTGCTTTCACTAAGCTATCAGCATTGATTTGGATACCGTGCCTGATGGCACGTAGCCACCACTAACCTGGATTAAAGTGAGAGCACTTGCATTACTAGTGCAGTCTGTGGAAACTAGAATACCCAAGGCTGGAATCAGTATTCCCACTGGACGTGGTTTATGATTGGATCGAAATGGAGTGTAATATATAGAGAGTGCTCCAGCCTTCGTGAGCTGTACTTTGCTGCTATTAAAATGAGTGACCCAGATTAATCCTTTTGATTTAAATTCTAATTATATAAGTGACCCATATAGTGATGCAGAGCTTTTATTTTTCTCTTTATCGTGTATCTTTGTATGTATTTTTAGATGACGTTGCAAGAATATAACATGATTCACAATGATGAAGATGATGAGGAGTTTTTACAGCGATACAGGAAGCAGCGAATGGAGGAGATGAGACAGCAGTTATACAGTGGGCAGCAATTTAAACAGGTTTTTGAGATTACCAGCGGGGAAGCGTTTTTGGACACAGTTGATAAAGAGCATAAGAGCACGCTGATCATGATCCATATTTATGAAGATGATATCCCTGGCACTGAGTCCCTGAACGGCTGTATGATCTGCCTCGCTGCTGAGTATCCAACAGTTAAATTTTGCCGAGTAAAGAGTTCGCTTATTGGTGCCAGCACTCGCTTTACTAATAACGCTCTGCCAGCTTTGCTGATCTATAAGGCAGGTGAGCTCATTGGCAATTTTGTGCGAATCACTGACCAGCTTGGAGAAGATTTTTTTGCTGTAGACCTGGAGGCTTTTTTGCAGGAGTGTGGTCTGCTTCCAGAGAAAGACTTAGTGCTTCTGACTTCTATACATAATCCATCTGCATGTTACAGCGAAGACAGTGATCTGGAAATAGACTGAACCACCTCTACCAAGGGGCCAGTAGGTTTAGCTGTGGGTTGTTCTTGTGCTAGAGGTTGTTCTCTGTCTTTCTTTGTGTTGATATGTTATTCTTCCCCTCCACGCACTTTGAATTTGCTCGTTAAAACTTTGTTAAGGTTAACATAAGGAGTTCCTGACGTTTTCCTAAATTAATTTAATAAAGTGTACACTAAAACTGCCTAGCTCTTACGCAGTTCACATGTATTTTACTAAATATGAAGTTACAATCCAGTAAGTTTAGTGAGTTGCGTCTTATATTGTCATCTCTGTTCTCCAAATCATTTAGATTTTCTAAGCATTTTGTTGTCAGATCAGCTATGTATGGTCAGTCTCCTTGCAGGTTTGCTGAAGCAGTATGTGCGAATACCAGTTGAGATCGGGATGTGGTGCCTACTCACTAAGATAAGAATTGAGACCACAGATTAAGAAGTTCTTAAGCATTCGAGACTTTTACTAATCTGGAGCTGAAGTGTTGCCAGTGAGTTAACAGTACTAGGTCCTGTCTTCCGGTCCTTGATTTGCAGACCCCTTCTTGGCGGCACTGTTGTTTTAACTGTTGTTATTGTTGTTCCTTTCTCCCTTACAAATAACCACAGCTCCTGACTTCATCCTGAAAATTACTTTTCAGCTGGGGAGGGTGGCTCGCTCTTTGATCTTGCCTGAGACTTAAATGAGGAAAATCTTTCTTCAATTACAGTTCTTAATACGTTCTTGGGCTTTTAAAATACTCACCCTTAGAGTTCATAGTGCTTACTGAAGCAGAAAATGACTTCTGCCTCTTAAGAGGGAGACCATCTCTAAAAGCAGGCTGTAAAGAGCTCTAACATGCGTGCTGAATAGCATCAAGGAGAATTTTGTTAGCAAAATGTAGAATTAGGTCTTGATAGCATCAGAATTTCACCTAGTACCTGTAATATTCTCTAACACTATTAAACCAGCGCTAAAATTCATTTTTGTCTGCCTTCATATTATCTGCTTCAGCTGAGTTGTGAGATGCATTTTGAATATTAATAGCCCCTGGCCCCGACAGATGACTGAAAGGCTTTGTGGGAAATCAGCCTTGAGCCAGCAAAGAGGCTGAGTCCCTCGTACGGGTGTTCAGTAGCAGGCCCCTTTTTTTGCAGCTCATTCCTTGTTTGAAGCTCGGTATCTAGTTTCTGCACAGAATGTTCAGCTGGATCAAAAGTGGTGTCACTATCCTGTTCTTCCTCTCATGGCAGCTCTTTGGGAGTCTGTTTTTGTACAGTATGTCGGTGGAGTTCACTAAACATGGAAGAAAATCTTGTAGGGTGGGAGTGAAATCTCTGAGGAGACCTTGCAGTTTTTTCCTCTGTCTTTTTTTTCAAACAACAAAGGCCTTTTTAAAAGCATCCCCACTGCTGTTTCAGTTACTCAGCAACGTAGGTCCAAAAGTTCTCATCTTCCCCAAAAACACAGGGCAGCTCCCACTTCAGGAAACAGAAAAAAGGCATGTAGCACTGGCTGAGCTCATTTGTTTATTCATGATCATTTTTCCTACTGAATGCTACAGCTGTGTATTATGCTTCCCTCCTGCAGCATCTTTGTCATAATTGTTTGTCATTGATCACAGCTTTATTAAAAGTGTTTGTATTGTTTGTGCTCTACTTACTTCATAAATCAGATCATAGTACAGGGAAGTAAGTCTCGGGTTTTCTGTTATATGATAGTTCCCTCTGACTCTATCAAGTTTTGTACTACACCAGTGTAAGATATCCTGAGTAGCATTAGAAACCATTAGCAATTTATAGTGAACATGTACATAAAAACTTACAACGATGCGGAGTGAGGCAAAGGCTTTGCTGGCCAGATTGTGGTGTGGCTGATTTTAGTGTACCTAGCACAACCGAGCGTTGAGCGTATGCGCTCTACTTAGCTGTTACTGAGTTACGCGTCTTTTACATACTTAAGCTGTTATTACAGCATAAGTTTGCTTTCTCTTGCATTACTTACTTTGCTTGTTATTTTTTAATTTTGAGGAAAGTAGACTATAGTTACCTAAATACAGTACCTAATTTAATGTTATATTTAATGATTAAACTTAATTGCAAGTTTTGCGTAAGGCACTTGGGAGCACTGTGGAAAAATGTGAATGTGTAAGCGTTAGATTCAGAATAAGAATATATCTTAGAATAGAAAAGGAAGAGTTGACCTTAATTATATCTATTTGAACTGTTTTAAAAGATAGTAGAAGCACAAAGATAAATAATTTGTGATTAAAAATTATTGAATTGGCACAAATTGTAGCTATTTTAAGGAAACTGGAAGAAAAACAGAATGAAAATGTTCCAAGAGATTATTTCTTTCCATCTCAGAATTGCAGAAAAGAACATGAAAGTTAAATGAAATTAAATCATTGAGAATGGGTATCAGCATTTTTAAGGAAAAAAAATCAAAGTAGCTGTAATTTGTATTCAGGCTGAGATACAGTGGAGTCTGTTGTGCAGACAGGGTGCATATTAGCATCATAATAAAACCTGGCTTGGAGGGGTGTGGGGAGGGAGCAGACTGCTTGAACTGCTTTAAGTTTTACGTTTATAAAGTGCTTTTTTCCCTGCATGGCAGCAAAGCTGTAATAGGATCAAAACCTCTCCTGGTGCTCTGTCAGATGGCCTGCAGCAAGGTGACCCTTCTGGTTATTAATATATGGTGCTAAGGTGTATGATAGATGATTTACAGTGCCAATAGCACCAAAAAAAAAAAAGTCCAAATCCAATTAATGATTGATCTGGAAGAACATAAAAAGCAGAAGGGAGAGAAGGGTAGAGAGAAGATGTGTTATGCTGCTTTTCTTTCTCAACACAGACAACACAAATGCGTGAAGGCGTCGCAGGTCTGCTGAGAAGCATTGCGGCAGGGCTGGGCAGCGCTGCCGCCCGTGAGCAAAGCTAAATTCTTCCAAACTGACCAACTAGTAATTGTGCCCGAAGGAAAACCAGCATTCTTAATATTCATTAAATATAAAATAAAATTAATTTTAGGATAGGTTGGTTATTAATTTGTTAGTGTCTGACCCCTACCTAGGCAATACAAATAAAAACTACAATTCATACTAAGGTTGTATCTGTAAATGTGTTGGTCGAAGGGCTAGAGTCTACTTTATTTATCTAATTTTAGATGTCCTGACCTGCAGATTAAGAATTGGATTGTGTTTATATATGCATATGAGGACTGAAATGAAATTGTATGAACACCTACATGAAATAAAACTGTTCCGAAACAACCAACTTTGCATCGAGAGTGTCAGGTTTTCAGTTTGATTCAGTGTCTCTCTGTCCCCCAAAGGCATTCTACTCTGTCAAGACTTCATTTAAATTGATGCATTCCTAGACCGTTTGGTTTTGAATAAAGGATGCTTCTCCGTTTTGTCAAAGATGTTTCCTCTAGCTTTTCTGGCACGAAGACTTCCCTAGCACATAACATTGCTCTTTGCAGAAACCTGCTGGACTGCGGTAGCGTTTATTCGTCCTGTGAAGGGCTCTGGTATGGCAACAGTCGTCAACTGTGATGACTAAAGTGTGTTTGAATGCTCGACTATTTTGTCCCTACTGCCAGACCTTATATTGACTCGGCCAGAGGTGTTCTGCGAACTGCTAGACACGAGCTGAAGCTCAGGAGGAGTTAATTTGCCCAGCCTTTCTGCCCCGTAGTTAAGCAACAGCACCCTGAGCCTCACCTGAAGGGGTTTCTGTCTGCCGGGGAAGCCCTGCCACCTCGGTTTGGTGGTGCCACGGCGGTGCCCACCCAGCTTTCTCCTGCGTGTGGATCTACCTGAGCCCTAGGCAGCAAACGGCAAGAAGGAGCGCCCAGAGGCAGCGCCGGGCTGTGAAACGGGACGGGTATCCGCACGTGAGTTTATTTTCCTCAGTGTCTCATTGCTGCTTCTCCTGCTCCCTCCCAGGCGGCAGCGAGACCAGCAGATCTGTCGCCGTCTGTGGAGCCTAGGGTGATGTTGGTCTGAGGTACAACCGCTGCTTGGGACAAGTCGGGCAGCCTGGAGGCTTGGTGCAAAGCTCTGTTGGAGTTAGCTACTTCTCCCCTTTTTGTGCAGAGCTGTGCAAGGTTTAACCACGTTGCTGATGCAATTCTGCCCACATCTAAAGGCTGCAAACAGAGGCAGATCTTCTGAAATCTAGTACTTCCAACAGGACAGGGGAGCTTAAAAAGAGAGTAGCTGCTCCTGGAATGTGCGGACACGGCCAAGATAAATTTGGCTTTTCTGGTGTGTCAGCTCTGTTTAGTGCTGTGTCGACCTGGGGGTGTGGGAACTGTGACAGCCCTTCTGTTGGGGAACGCGTTCGTTGCCTTCATCTGCTTCTTCTGGCCCCTCGTCTACGTCCCATCCCTTTTGAAGGGCTTTGTTTTTATTTGCAATGACGCCAAAAGTAAATTACTATGTTACGATTTCTTGATGTTTTATTTCTGGCGAGTCAGAGGTTCAGCGTGACAGGATCTCTCATCGAGGACGGCCCCAGGTCCGCCGTTTGGGCGAGTTCGGGAGCCCTTCCTGGCTCGTTCCCGGCGTGGGGCTCCCCCCCCTTCTCTGCCGGCAGGTACCAGCGCTCTGCGCCTTCGGCTCGGAGGGCCGCTCGGCCGCGGCCTCGTCTCGCTTCCGTGACGCACCTTGCCGGTCGAGAAGATACTTGCGCTACATCTGAGTCATCTCCGTGTCTGATTTTAATCTTCATTAATTACTATAAATAGCTGAAACAACACTTGACAGGGAGCAGCCGTTGCTTTTAGGAAGTGCTTTATTTTAGAAAAAGCAGCCTACGACAAAGGGGCCAGCCAGAAACGATTATTTTTACAGGAGGGCATAATACCGCGTTCAGTTAGAGGAGGGTCAAATCACCCCAATTCTCCCCATGTTTAGTTGCTCCCAGCCCAGGAGGGCAGCCCTGGCTCCCGCTGGATCCAGGCCACGCGGGCGCTGCTTCTAAGGCGTCCGTAGCGCGCCGGGCGACGCGGCCGGCGTTGGCAGCTGTCAGCGCTGCAGGCAGACGAGCGCCGTTGTTGCTGTCGGGCGGCAGGGGGGGGCGCGGGGGGGAGGCGCT